TCCTGTTTTTTTTAGGCGCTTCTTCCTTGTCTTTTTATTCTTGTCCGGACCATCTTTGGATTCTTGAAGATACGTTGCTCATTACAGTTGTCAGAAATTGGGTGTATGCTATTGCCAAAGGATAGCGGGTGGCATTGGTACTCTGACATTTGTTTACAATGCTTCAAGAGTAGTTTTGATTTATTTGAAACGTATAACAAACAAAACAGCTTTGTAATTTTAATTTGTGGCGCGAAGGTACTGTGGTGTGCTGGATACTTCGCATTCGAGTCTACCTCTTTGTTTTTATTATAACTGTTGTAATTTTAATCGACCGCTGGCCGTTTTACTACTTTTTTCCTTTTGGCATGCTGCGTTCTAGCCAATATATTTAAATATCTTGGTTATATCACGAAGCGATTAGAAGTTTTTACTGATTAGTGTTAATCTTCGTGTTTTTAATTAATTTTCTGACTCTGTACATCTGGTTCATCAGATTGTCGTATTCGTGGTATTGACGGTTCTTTTTTTATGCTCATTTTATTTCATATATTTTTGTAATGATTAACAAGGCTGGGATGTAATAGTTAGTTAAATTCTGTTGTTTCTTTAGCATCTTTACTAACAGTGCTGTTGCTTGCGCGACGGTGGGTTTAGATGTCTTGATGCGGTGGGCCTTGTCTATTTTGCTTACAGAGTTTAGTTCCAAGTATGGTTGGGTAGGTTGGTACTAGTGAAGTGTCGACAGAGTTCGTTTAATCACGTGTGTTTTCTATTCCAGTCTTGTTGGATCTATTGCAATTTCGGGCTGCTGTTGTTTTGATTGCTTGTTTTTGTCCCCGAGTATGTCATTTTCTATTGGTTTTTAGGTTTTGCAGAGTTGATGATCAACGGTAGTGTTATACAAGTCTATTTTTATGACTTAGTTAGATTTTCACAGTTTATTCTAGAAAGGATGCCCACTTAACATGTGATGTCAGATATGTTGACTGCATGCCTAGAATTGTTCTTGGTTCATTGTTGTTCAAGCAACTAGATTATAGCTTTTTTTTTATTTCCTTTATTTGATCATCTTCATGTGTTTTTTTAGATGTTAATCACAGCTCAGGTTAGCTGTATGTTTCGGCTGTTTTTAATTCGGTTATGAGAACGACATTTTAGCGTTTGCGGTCGAGTTTCTTGTCTTAAATTGTTTTTGGCGTTGTGGTTGATAAAGATGGAGCTTTCTTCTCTTTGGATCGTGGGAGCTTTTAGGTCGTCTTCATGAATCAAAGCTTTGAATTGAGTGAGTTCCTGACATTTATGTTAATTTTTTTTTGATCTCGCTCTGTATGATTTTTCCTTTGTATTTTGCATTTGAGCGCTGTCGTTAAAATTTTACAGTTGTTCATCTGTTGTTGAGTGCGTATCGTGCTTTGAATCGAATTTGGTCGATTTCATCTTTTGTTGATGTATGCAGATAAATGTTGATTTATTGTTAGGAGTCGCTTTATGCAGCATTTGGTTTTCCCCAGTGTGTCAGTAGCAGTGGCAGCAGCTAGAACTGCGTCTCTCTTAGGTTGCGATCGGCTAGTTTGGAGTTTCTTAATTTTTCAGTAGAAAGGTTCTTGTTGGGTTGTGATGCGAGAGAGTGGTGTTTCAGGGCATAAGTTTGGTGATTTTTAGTTTGTTCTTTTTGGCAATGATTGTCTAAAGGATGCGAATTAAGAGGCAGGTGGTTTGAGATGAGAGTTACTGTGTGATGTGGCAGCTTTGTACATTTTATTTGTGAACGGTCGGTTCCGCGCATGGTTCGATTGCGTGGGGTTTGTGATCAAGTTGCGTACTGGGTGTTTAAATTTAGCAGGTTCGGGGCCAACTATCCTTAGTCTTTTTCGTGCTGTTTGTTCTTGGGTTTTCTTGCCTTGCGGGAAGTTTAATACATCAGCTTATGTAGCATTCTTATTGCTTTGGTTCAGTGTTTTTTGAAAGGGAAGAGAGGGTTTACTGATCTGTGACTTTAAGTGCGGGCTTAATGTCATTGTATGGTTTCAAGGCTGCGTGTAATTTGATCTTCATTTTTCAGCAAGCGCTTTGTTCTGTTGTGGTATGGATATTTCTTGTTATGAATTCTGAAATGGTAATTTATATGTTGTGTTCAAGTGGTCAAAAAAGGAGGACAATAAATGGGTCTTATAGTTCTTTCAGTTTACACATGGATAATGGAAAAAAAACTATGCACAAAAGTTAATCGATATAATAGAAATTTATATTGTTTATTTGCAGTAGAAGTGGTAACTCATTGTAATGCTTGCTTAAAATACGCTAATTTTGGCGGTACTTCTGCAAAACGCTTTTAACAAGTTGATAATGGTGGTCAGAAATGATTAGAAGACGGGGGAATCCCGATACCTAGTGATCATGGCACTGCCGCTTGTTCTGTATGGGGCCCGTTATAGCACACATTGGCATCGATGAAAAAGGCTTATTTTCTTATCTTCGTCAAACCTACTTTTTATTACTGGACCTCTAGAAAAAGGAAAAAAGAATTTTAGAAGAAGAAGTATACTATTGAACGTTTTGTTCATTTAAATTTCTTGAAATTCCTGAAATTATCTTCAAAACAATGGGTGATTGCAATAGATTCTTTTATTTTCCAAGTTTTGCTGTACTGAAAATATATGGAGCGATAAAGTTTAAGTTTTGCACTTTGTAAAGCGATACTGCGGCCAGTATTGGGGTTTTTCGTTACTGTTTTAATTTATGTGTAATACTCAAGAATACACTGTTGGCATATAGGTACCACGGGCACAATTTAGTTTTAGCAGCACTACGTAAGGGTCCAAAAGCAGCAGCGTAACTGAAAACCATATTAAGGAGCATCATTGTTTGATAATGTTGATTCACCAAAAGAACCAATGTCTAGACGGATATCTTTTGAGGCAATTGGAGAACTCTGTCTTGATTTCTTTTTATTGTTTGTAAATTTATAATACCTTAGTTATAGTGGCAGGACAATTTCATTTTATATTCTACACATTGTTGTTTAGTGAAATACTCAAGAGTCTGGGCGAGGGTGTTTGTGCTTGTAGCATTGATGTTGTTTTTTTTTGGTTAGATATAAGGTGAAGGCGGAAAAAAAGTAGGGTTTTCATTATATGAAGTGTAACTGGATACTTGGAACAGCATTAAATCAGCCAATTTTTCTCTTAAGCGAACAATTGTAATGACCGATCCTGGTGTATACTTGTGCATCTAAAGAATAATTGTTTTTTTATTTTCAAAAATTCTGTCTTTTGGGGTTACCCATTTTCGCGAAGGAGTGTTAGGAGAAGAAGGATTATGTTGACAAAAGTCAAATTATGAACTCAGAAGTATTGTATCTTCTTGTCTTGTTGCTGTTAAAAGATTATACGTTTCATCTTTATGATTGATTTAGTTGGCTGGAAAAAGTAATTAGAAGTCAAATTGAAAGCTAAAGCAAACAAAATTTTTTTCCATTAACATTTTGGTCGCAAAAGTAGAGAAAAGAATAGAAAATAAACTTTTGTCTTTGTTGTAGAAGACTTGACTTCTCAGAAAAAACTTTGTTTAACTCTACTTTTTTTTCTTCTTTCTTAGATGGGTTGTTTTTAATGCTTCAAAAGGCAAAAAAAGAAAAAGGAAAAACAAAAAAAACTTGTGTTTTTTGGCTTGTGTCTGGGTAAAATACAAAAGTTAAAGTTGAATAGAATTTCGATACTGCACAACAACGTTTTCAGTGGGTAACAGAAGGCGCAAAAGCACAAAGAGAACACTTTTGGTTTATATATTCAACTTGATTCTAATTTATAGGTCTTTAATTTGTCTCTGAAAAAAAGAAACCACTTATGCAACAAACCAGCATACAACAGTATTCTGAAAATTTCTTTTTCGGAAGAATATTGACAATAAAGCAATATGAAGATTCAAAAGAAGAAAAGTATTTATG